CAGTCAACCCGACCCGAACGGAGATCCGACCCATTTAACAAGCCCACGCATATTAGGATTTTCACCCTAACATATTAATCAGCCGCCACCCTCCCAACCGTTAGATCTGTAAGGATCAATGGCCCGGATGCAACAAGTATCAGGGTTTTTTAACCCTAAATATCATCCAACCAACGCCGACGAAGATGAACCGCCCATTGGAGGCGCGTCGCGCCCACCGTTTAAACTCCCAGACGCGCGTGCACCTTACCAGTAGCCTCCTCAGCCGTGTGAGTCGTCGCCATCGTCACCCACGTACTCTGAACAGTACCCAAATAAAAAAATCAGTAAAATTTCAAAACTAATTTTTTTTAATGTTATTGAATCCCGAAAAATCGAGATTTTCTAACAACCCTGTCAAGAAAATGATGATTCCCTATCCTAGAGGTAATCATCATCTCACCCAAACGAGAGATAAAGAAACAAAAAAGGCAACCATTTTTTGAGGAAATAACATTCGATGAGAAAAGGAAAAAAAGATCGAGTAAAAGAAAAAACATAAAAATAAATCAAAGAGAACCTTACCTTGCAGATCAGAGTCTTGGTTATCATCGGGGCAAAGGAAGAATATTACCGAAGGTAAATAAGACATATGTTATTGTTAGGGTTTTATTTAGGGGTTGAGAGGTAGAGAGTGGGATTTAGAACAAAGAGGAGAGGAGGAAGGGGGTATTAGGGGTTTGGTTACCCCGCTTTTGCCGTTGATTTACGGAGGGCGGGTTGTTTTGGTTCTTCCACACGGCGAGGGAAATGTCGAGACAGAAGAGAGACTTGAGAGCTTTTAGCTCTCCCTCTCTCCCTTGAAGAATGAATGAAGAAAAATAGAGTGAATGGGTAATTTAGGGTTCATTTTGGGCTATTTATGTACTGCGTGAAACAATGTCGTATAGATGGAGCTCATTGTGTTTTGCGAAAGGAGATAATTACATGTTAAATACTTACCCATATGTAATGTTGTGTTTTAGTCCTAAATAATAATTTGTATTATCTCGTTTTGAGCATTTATTTTTTTATGTTTATATCTTAGTCACCATTTCATATATCATACTATTTTTGTTTATTTTTGAATCAGCCTTATGTTTACTGATTATGTTTTTTAGTCACCACTTAATATAAATACATTTAGGTATAATTATTATTTGCCCCTTTATGTTTTTGTTTTGTTTCTTTTTAATCCTTAATTTTATTTATGGGTATTTTAGTTTCCATTACATGTCTTCTTTAATTTATGTAATATTGGCTCTGGTTTATTGGTATTTATTATTTAGTCTTTCAAGTTGTTGTTAGTTCTAAATTAGTCCTTATTTATTTGCACTTTTGTATTATTACTTTCACTTTGTTTTTTATCACCACGGTTTTAATATACAAAAATAAAAAATTTATTGTTAGGGAAATCTACAAAGACATCTCCTAACTACAAGAGAATGTATCTTTTCGAGGATTTTTCACACAATTTTTTTAGTAGTTGTATCTGCTTTACTTTTACGTTTATTTATTTTGATTATTTGTTTCATTTCATTTTGTTTTATTTTATTTTAATTTGTGGAAAATGTGAAATAATGTTTTTTAGGAGAATCTATGAGAAAGTCTCCTAATTACAAAGAAGTGCATTCCTGAGGCTTGTTCACATAAAAAGGCATTATTTATCCATAAAATTAAAGAAACTTTATTTTGTGAGAGGAATCTATGAAAAAATCTCCTAACTATAAAGGAAGTGTGTTTTCAAGGATTGTTCGTACAAAACGATTAATTTTTTTCTTATAAAAATAATTATTTTTTATAATAAATAATCTTATTCTATAAAAATATATTTTGGTCTTTTTAATCTTTTAAATTGTTACATTTATTATTTTAATTGTTTTAAAATTACACTTTTTAAATAAATTTGAATAAACAGAAGGATCGTAATTTAAATATGTTTTCAAGTTTGTAATTCTCAATCTTTAAATAACATATAATCGTTTAGGTACTAAAATGTGGGCGTTGTGGGGGTGATTACCCTTTCCCACACGTAATCGACTCCGGAACTTTTAAAAATGAATTATTGGTAAAACGCATACAATTTTTTTTAGGTTTCCGACCTACGTGACTTAAAGGTTGGTGGCGACTCCAAAATTAAATCATTTTCAAACCCAAACTAAAAATTTTAAGTCTAACGAACTCCCTCGGAAAAACGTTATGACATAATTCATGTGTATTTTTTCTAAAAAATATTTTTAGATCTGTGTTCCAGGGCAATACGCAAATAGTTTGTACACTTCTCAAGATTTGTAATGAGAAATGACAAAAACATTATACGGGGAGACGAAGCAAATGAATTGAATAATTTAAATATTACTCCATAAAAAAATAATTATATATTTTGAAGATTATCTAGTAGGACGAAGAATAAAACTATGATTTTATATGGGTCGAAAATGACCAATATTTTCGTTTAGACCACAATTTTAGAACGTTTTATTAAATTGGGTGTAGAAAATGACCGATGAATATAACTTTTTGTCTTTTATTTTTTATTTAAAAAATTCAGATTCGTTTTGAACGATAAGAAAATCATATTCTTCAACTTAAAAGCATTAGATATTTTGATCACTAATGTAGGGTTTGGGATTCTTAACCCTAACTTTACGTTGTTCATTAATTTAAAGATTCCAAACATAACATCAAATACAACAAACTATGAATATTACTTTTTGTTAAAAATGAACTAAGAAAGAAGAAGATGCAAGTGCTATTAAATCTAAAATTTATTCAACTTTATCTCTTAAGCGTTTTAGTTGAAGGATCTCTCACTGTTTGCTAATCAATCATAACAAAACCACATAACTTAGAATTACGTCAATCTAACTACCAACACGAAAATCGATACATTAAAAATTTCTAATTTTTTAAGATTTTTTGTATTAATATGAGATAAATATAAGATAATATACATCTTTTAATCATTTGATATTGAACGCTCACACTCGTGATATTCATGTTGCTCGAATCCAAGACCTCAAGGAATAACAATAATTCCTTTACCACCAACTTTCATGATTAGATTTATGATTTTAAGACCATTTTTTTATTAAAAAAAATTAGCCTGAATTAATATTTACAATGTCAAAAAGTAAAGAAACAGATTATCTCGAGGTCATTGGTCACCGAAACCTATGCTAGAGAAGATAGGAAGTTTATGGCTTTTACTTCTACCTAAAATAACATTGTTTTGGTGTTTGGTGTGAAATTTATGTGGATTTATTTTTAAAATTTAATGTGATTATTTTATAATTTTATATAATCAGTGGATGTAATTAAAATGTATGCTATAGTCAGAGGACTATCTCAGCAGTTTACCATAATTCTCAGCAGTTTGCCATAATTTTAAATAATATTCCATGCAAATGGAATCAGAGGCTGATATATCGAAATGAAAAATATCGGGGAAGGAGTAATGTAAGAAATAGATGGATATTTACTCATTATTATTTTAAAGAAGAAAAACAGAGCTTTGAAATGAGCCAAAATCAATCTTCCATACGAAATCACTTCATGCCTTTTATATATGGATTCCTCCTCCCAAAAAGGCAAAAAATCCTATTAAGTGTTTGTATTTTGTAATTTTATCAATTTCAATCCACACATTTTTTATAATATGGATATAGCCATCAACACCCTCTAATACTTCACATAACTTTACATTTAAAAAATAAATAAATTATTCTATCCAACTAAGTCCACTTTTATTATTTAATTTTTTCACACTTTCTCTCCCATATACCTAAGAAAAGACCCCTATCGTGATGTGATTACTAATTTACTTTATTTGTATAATTATTGATTATGTGTATTTTAATTATTGATTTCTCTTGTTTAAATATCAATATTTAATTTATCGATTTAAAATATTTTAAAATTATTATGGTATAAAGTATCATATTCAACTACTCCAATAAAATTATTTATTGGAGTGGATATGGTCTAAATTATATGTAAAGTTTCAAAATATTAATATGTCATTTGTTTATTTAACCATTGTTGGTATATAAAGCTACAAAATAAGAGTCCGTAGTATCTCCCCTTGTAAACGCCTATCATTTCTAACCCATTTCTAATTAGGTTGTTGAGATGTCTACAGTATATTATTGTCTTTTTCTGACTAATAATTCAATGATTCTTTTTATATAATTCTCAAAGTTATAAACATAAAAAAGTCATTGTAGGGATGTATTTAAAGATGGCGGATAGAGGCGGTCGTTCCTCTTAAAAATTTAAATTTTTTTATAATTTAAAATTTTAAAGAGGGAGGATAGAGGTGGATGCGCCACCTAAAAATTTAAATTCTTATATAAATTAGATATTAATTAAGAAAATATCATTATAAACATTATTGTTTCAAAGTTTCAGTTTTTTTTTTACCATCAATGTATTAAACAATATTCTTATAATTAAAGATAGTCCATCATGTAAAATTTACATTACCAGTTATTTAACTGATGTGAATACAAAGGAATTAATTTATATAAATTATTATTTTGAAAATTAAATTAATATTTTTTTAATAATTCTTACTTGGGGGAAAGGGAAGAGGAATTTTGCGCTAATGAATATTGAACATACAACTTAGAAATGATGAAAGGTGTTAACTCTCTAGAGATTATTGATAGAATTAAATTAATATTCTTAACAATTGTAAAAGCTAATTTATATAGCTTGATCCCAAAAAAAAAAAAAAACAAGGCACGCAAATGTATCTTAACTATGATGTGTCCCAATCCTAAATACAGGGGGGAAAAACATTATAAATTGTAACAGAGCATGACAAATAATGAAACTGTCCCCAAATAAAGTCTAAAATCTCCATCGAGAAGAGAGAAATGGATAAAAGGTTGTGATTCCATCCCATCATTGCCTTTTGCCCATCCCTCATCCCCTTCTATAAAATCACTATGATTTTCCCATTACTCCCTCACTCTTTGGGACTTTCCAACAACATGGCTGCAACCAGAGGAGCACCTTCAATCAACTCCTTTTTCAAGTGAGCTTTTCATTTCTCCCTACTTTTTTTTTGGAAAAAAAAAAACAAGTTTGATACTATTAAAATGCATCTTTGTGTAAGCTTATTTAATCAGTCTGTATTTAAATGTCGAGAAAGCAGGCCGATCATAAGGAAATATTGCACAAAGTGCAGCGGAGGTGTCGATACACTACAAGAGCCGATGAGAATGGAGGCCAAGGAAGTGAAGAGGAAGACAACCACCGTGGGAGGATATCATGATGGGAGTTGCTGCTGGGTTCCGCATCACCAGACCGGAATTTATTACCCCAAGGGCCATGAGAAGGTCATGGCCGATGTTTCTGCTCATGCCACCAAAGATCATCAGATTAATTGGTTTCCCTATGATTAGAGATGTTATAAATTTTTTCATCCAACTTGGATTATACTAGTACATTCTTCATATTATGTGTTTATACATATATCTAAAAAAACCCAAAATAGCTTAGTTACGAAATAAAAGACCTTGGAACATTTACATATATCATAAACCGCAAATCACTTCAAAAAAATGAAAATAGAGTATCCATTATGCATTGCTTACAGCTTTGAAGAAAATGGATTGTAATTTGGTGAATGAGAGGAGGGGCTAATGCGTCTTAAATTCCAAAATCCAATTTACTTTTTTTATCTGGTTCCGTCAATGGGGCTGCTGCTCAAAGAGGTACCTGAACCAACAGGTTTTTTGAATTGAACAAGGATCATCGTCATGTTGTCGCATCCCTCGCCACCGGCTGTTGGAGCCAAACACCTGTCGAATACTCTCTCACAGATTGCTGACAGCTTTGTTTCCTGCACAGTGGGAAGAATCCATTGTTAATTAATAGAATCTCTGTATTGATAGGTTTACCATGTTTTCGTGAAGGCTCTGCAGGAACTTACAGAGTTCAACTGCTCTCGTACATAATCCACGAGTTGTTGACTTGACACACAGTCCCTAATCAACAAAACAGAAAGATGCTAGAATCAAATCAATTAGAAGAAATATCATCTCGTACAACCTCCCAAGGGAATCTATAAATGAGTGCATCATCATCACAAGTGGGTAAAAGCATTGAGTGCATCATTTATAGATTCCATCGGGAATCATAAGTTATGCGGTGATGATGATGATGATGGTGCCAAGTTGTAACATAAACATTCTTACACAGTAACTTACCAAATCCCATCGCAAGCTAGAACAAGAAACTCATCATCATCACAGAGCTCGACCTATTTCAAAGAGGGTAAAAGAATGTTTAAAAAAGTTAAGTCTCTTTATAAAATCAATTGACCAACATCAAAATTTATTGAAAGAGCTAGAATGTTACACAAGTATTTAAGCGAACAGCAATTCACTTACAATGTTTATGTCCATTGAAAGAGCTAGAATGTTACACAAGTATTTAAGCGAACAGCAATTCACTTACAATGTTTATGTCCGGATTAGCTGTTACAATTTGTTTTTCAACAGGTAAAGTTTTGTTCAGTTTGAACTCTGCATCTCCTGCAAGTGAAAATATGATTATAAATCCACAAGCAATCAAATAACAGATCCATCCCCCCTCCCCAACACCCCGTACGGGGATTTAGACAGTACCAATGGCCCTGGCTAAGTTTAAACTTCCATTGGCACGTCCCACTTGAATAAAACCACCGGCTTGATTTTTTGTAATGGTTAAATCACACATTTAGTCATTGCACTTTAGGGTATTTTCAAAGATTAATCCCTAAGCTTCAACTATAAATATCCTAGCTCATTTAGCTTCAAAATCATCCCAAATCATTTTCTTTCTCCCAATACTAGAGAGCTTTCTTGTGAGTAGTGAGTGTTTTGTAAACACCTGTAAATTTTCTCTCTTAGTAAAAGATCTGCAGCAGTCCGAAGACGTAAGCAAAATTGGCTGAACTCCGTTATCAATTTCGAGTATTATTTTTCCGCTTTTATTTCGCATTCTCACTAATCTGGTTATAGGGAAATTACTCGTACTCGTTTTATTTCCCAACAATTGGTATAAGAGCTTTTGGTTGTGAATTTTGTCAATTTTTTGTGAGGTTACTATTCACGTGAATAGTGAATTTCGTGAGTGATACGAAATTATCGACGGAGGTATTCTAATACACGGTGGTTCGCAAGAACTGTCATAAACGATCCAAACGAAGCCAGATTCGAGTGGGAGCGATGGCTGCAGACGAAGAGAATGTGAACATTGAAAAGTTGGATGGTGTGGACTTTGGCTTTTGGAAGATGTAGATTGAAGATTTTCTGTACCAGAAAAATCTATATCAACCTCTTTCAGGAAAGCAACCAGAGGGCGTGAAAATGAATATTGGGCTCTTCTCGACAGACAAGCCCTCGGAGTTATTCGACTGACGTTGTCCCAAAATGTTGCTTTCAACATAGCAAAGGAAAAGACAACGGCGGGTCTTATGGCGGCTCTCTCCAGTATGTATGAGAAGCTATCGGCCTCAAACAAAGTTCATTTGATGAGGCGATTGTTCAATTTGCGGATGGCGGAAGGAGCATCAGTGGCTCAACACCTAAATGAACTCAACACAATTACAACTCAGTTGAGTTCCGTGGAAATTGAATTTGATGATGAAGTTCGAGCTTTAATACTCTTATCATCTCTACCAGACAGTTGGAATGCTACTGTTACAGCAGTTAGCAGCTCGTCAGAAATCAACAAATTGAAATTCAATGATGTTCGGGATCTGGTATTGAGCGAAGAAATTCGACAGAGAGAATCGGGTGAAGCATCAACCTCCTCAGCCTTGCACACAGAGTCTAGAGGGAGAACTTCATAAAGAAATTCAAATCGTGGCAGATCCAAATCCAGAAGGGGAAAGAAAAATTATACCTGTTATAATTGTAGCAAGAAAGGTCACTTTAAAAGAGATTGTCGAGCACCAAAGAAAGGTACCAACGCACAGGAATCTACCACCATGACAGAGAAGATAGGTGATGCCATGATTCTAAGCGTCAACAGTCCGATTGAATCATGGATCTTGGATTCAGGGACATCTTTCCACTCCACCCCATGCCAAGATATCATGGAGAACTATGTCAGTGGTGATTTTGGGAAGGTTTATCTAGCTAATGATGAAACCTTGAAGATCGTCAGAAAAGGAGGCATCCGATTAAAGTTGCCAAACCAGACCACCTGGACGCTGAAGGGAGTGAGACATATTCCTAGCCTCAAAATAAATTTGATTTCTGTAGGATAGCTTGATGGAGAAGGATATAACACAACCTTTTCAGGTTGTGAATGGAAGATTACCAAAGGAGTACTCGTCATTGCTCGTGGTAAGAAGATCAATACTCTCTATGTAACATCAAATTTAGAGAATATCATTGTTGCAGCAGATGCTGATAGAAAATCAAACATATGGCACCAAAGGCTTGGTTATATGAGCGAGAAAGGGATGAAGACACTTTTGTCAAAAGGGAAGCTGCCGGATCTAAAAAGTGTAGATGTCGGACTATGCGAGGATTGTATCTTTGGCAAACAAAAGAAAGTGAGTTTTGCAAAGATTAGCAAGACCCCCAAGGCTGAAAATTTAGAGTTGGTTCATACTGATGTATGGGGACCATCTCCCGTTCCATCTCTTGCAGGCTCATTATATTTGTCACCTTCATCGATGATTCTACAAGGAAGGTGTGAGTTTATTTTCTGAAGAATAAATTAGAAGTCTTTGATACTTTCAGAAAATGGAAAGCCATGGTGGAAAATTAGACTGGTTTGAAAGTCAAGCGGTTGAGGTCTGATAATGGAGGAGAGTACAAAAATAGAAAATTCAGAGATTTCTGCACAAATAATGAGATCAAGATAGAGACAACAGTTCCCATAACACTGCAACAGAATGGCGTAGCAGAGCGCATGAACAGAACTCTAAATGAAAGTGCTAGAAGTATGAGGATACATGCCGAATTGCCCAAATTTCTATGGGTTGAAGCTATCAACACTGCAGCTTACCTGATCAACCGTGGGCCCTCAGTTTCTTTGGATGATAGAATACCAGAGGAAGTTTGGAGCAAGAAAGAAATAAACCTTTCACACTTAAGAGTGTTTGGTTGTATTTCTTATGTACACATAGACTCTGTTGAAAGAAGTAAACTTGATGCTAAGTCCAACAAATGTGCCTTTGTTGGTTATGGCGGTGATGAGTTCGGTTACCAATTTTGGGACTATGAAAATCGGAAGATCATCAGAAGCAGAGATGTCATTTTCAACGAGAATGTGATGTACAAAGACAGATCAACTGTAGAATCAAGTAGCTCCAATACCGAAGCTGAAACAAAGAAATTTGCTGAGTTCGAGAAGATTTCTAGAAATGATGTTCAGATCAATCCTGAAGTAGTTCAAGAAGAACCAGGCACACCAGAACTGAGACGCTCCTCCAGAATTTCTAAACCAACCCAACGGTATTCTCCTTCTTTGCACTACTTGTTGCTGACTGACAATGGTGAACCAGAGTGCTATGATGAAGCAATGCAAGTGGAGGATTCAGTCAAGTGGGAGTCTTCCATGAAAGATGAGATGGACTCGCTTATGTCAAATCATACATGAGAATTAGTTGAATTACTACCAGGCAAGAAAGCGCTCCACAACAAGTGGATTTACAGGATCAAAGAAGAGCACGATGGGAGAAAACGCTACAAAGCGAGATTGGTTGTCAAAGGTTTTCAGCAAAAAGAAGGTATTGACTACAATGAAATTTTCTCTCCAGTCGTAAAACTGTCTATAATCAGACTGGTGTTGAAAATTGTAGCTGCAGAAAATCTACATATTGAGCAGTTAGATGTAAAAACAACTTTCTTTCATGGTGATTTGGAGGAAGAAATCTATATGAGGCAGCCAGAAGGCTTCATAGAGACAGGCAAGAAAAACCTGGTATGCAGGTTGAAGAAGAGCTTGTATGGTTTAAAACAAGCTCCTAGACAGTGGTACAAGAAGTTCGATAGTTTCATGAGTAGCAGTGGTTTTACCAGATGCCAAACAGATCATTGTTGCTACATCAAGAGGTTCAACAACAGCTTCATTATTCTATTATTGTACGTTGATGACATGCTCGTTGCAGGGTCAGACATGCAAGAGATTATAAACTTGAAGCAAAAATTGTCGAAACAGTTTGCAATGAAAGATCTAGGCGCTGCAAAGCAGATTCTTGGGATGAGGATTAAGAAAGACACAAAGTTGGGGACTTTGATGTTATCACAGGCTGAGTACATCAACAAAGTACTCTCCGGGTTCAACATGCAAGATGCTAAACCAGTAAGTACACCTTTAGGTGTTCATTTTAGACTCTCAAAAGAACAGTCACCAAAGATGGAGTAAGAACGTGCACACACGATGAAGGTGTCGTATGCCTCAGCAATTGGAAGTCTGATGTATGCCATGGTTTGTACCAGACCAGATATTGCTCAAGCAGTGGGAGTTGTTAGCAAGTACATGAATAATCCGGGCAAGGTACACTGGGAAGCAGTCAAATGAATTCTCAGATATCTGCAGGGTACCACAAACAAAGCACTTTGTTTCAAAGGTGGAGATACGATACTGACAGGCTATGTAGATGTTGACTTAGCTGGAAATGTCGACATCAGAAGAAGCACTACATGGTATGTCTATACTCTAGGAGGAACTGCGGTGAGTTGGGTTTCTCAACTACAGAAGATAGTTTCTCTCTCCACAACTGAAGCAGAATATGTTGCTGTTACGGAAGCCAGCAAGGAGATGGTTTGGCTACAAAGTTTCTTAGAAGAGTTAGGCAAGAAACAAGAAAATAATATCTTGTATTGCGACAGTCAAAGTGCTATTCATTTAGCAAAGAATTCGTCTTTTCATTCCAGGACGAAGCACATACAATTACAGTATCATTTTATCCGGTCTCTTCTGGAAGATAGGATTTTGAAACTTGAAAAGATTAGTGGAGCTCAATATCCGGCAGACATGTTGACAAAGACGGTGACTATGGACAAACTGAAGTTGTGTTCAGCTTCAGTTGCCATGCTAGAATAAAAGACCAGAAATACTGCTGCATTGATCTAGGTATGAAGACAGATTGAAATCAGTCTTCAAGTGGGAGATTGTTAAAATCAAAGAAAGGGGTTGCAATTTCAACAAAGGAGGGGTTGTTTTTCAACAATATTTGGCTTGATTTTCAAATGTAGGCACCGGAAACGGGGAAGTCAAAAGGGGGATGATATTGTTGATTTTTTTGTAATGGTTAAATCACACATTTAGTCATTGCACTTTATGGTATTTTCAAATATTAGTCCCTAAGCTTCAACTATAAATATCCTAGCTCATTTAGCTTCAAAATCATCCCAAATCATTTTCTTTCTCCCAATACTAGAGAGCTTTCTTGTGAGTAGTGAGTGTTTTGTAAACACCTGTAAATTTTCTCTCTTAGTAAAAGATCTGCAACAGTCCGGAGACGTAAGCAAAATTGGCTGAACTCCGTTATCAATTTCGGGTATTATTTTTCCGCTTTTATTTCGTATTCTCACTAATTTGGTTATAGGGAAATTACTCGTACTCGTTTTATTTTCCAACACAACTTTCAGAATTCTATCCCTCTCCAGCTCAAGGTCTGGCTTGTGATCTTTAGACAAATTATAAGCCTGAAAAACGTGACTTATATGAAATACAACATGCAACAGCTAAGCTATGCCACCTTAAAGAGGAACCATATTGCATATCCAAAGGAGAGAAGTAAAATAAAAGTTAAAAGGCAACTAAAAATCGATCTTATATAAATGCTGCAACTGGATTATATTTTACATTAATCATGTTTTTCACTCTCATATCACAAACTAACTGGAGAAAGGTAAAAGCATGTGCTACAACCATTTCCATGTCATGTCAGGCTCAAAATACTTACATTTATTAAGGCAGGGTCCTGTGGATTGTCTTAAAAGTGCTAGAATATTAACTTACTGATGTATTTCGGAAAACTTCAGGAATAGAATTACAAAGAAATGGTTAATATTAACCCTAATTCTTAAAATTACAAAGAAGCATCTTAAGAACATTAATGCTAGCAATGTCAGAACAGACACAACTGGTGCCTTTTTTCCAATTAAGGCATGGCCTATCCATGAAGTACTGTGCTTAACCAACTCCAAACCCTTTCCCATTTTCTAATAGAAAAAAAAAATCATTAAAATACAAGAAAAAGAAGCCCAAAAGGCAGCTTGCTCTCTACCAATCACTCAAAAGTTTGATGGTATATTCAGAAGCATTACTAAAGTCATCAGAGCAACAGAAACAAGAAAATAGAAGACAATAGTAGATGAGATTCATCATTCGATACAAGTTTTTAGCTTTATCCTGTCCTCCTTTTTTTGAGTCAAAAACTTAAAAGTAGTTACCATAACGTCTCTATGGGAGCAAGATTGCAAGAAACGAAAATGAAAAAGAACACGTGCAAACCGAAAAAGAGAATGCAACCAATGATATATATTAAACGCGCTCAGAGGTCAACAGGTGGGTCTCTGGTAACAACATAAAACCTCAGTGTTTAAAGGCATATGTTTGCTCCCGTCGCTTCATCAGTGGCAAGGCCACCGCACATACTGATCAGTCAAGATTTGCCGAGGACAAGATTTGCCGAGGAATAACTAAAATTATAGTAGGAAGAAAAAATACAAAAAGTATCCAGCAAAGGAAAGACAGCTTTGCTGAAATCTGAACTTCATATACTTTACAAGGAACAAAGAAAGAGTGATGTAATAAAAATAAGAAGAAGAAGAAGAACTTGACCCTTACCTCCATGGCCATCATAAACACCAAAAAATGCTGTCAAATTGTCCAGATCCGGAAAAGCTGCATGCTGCCAAAACCATAAAAGTAAATTCATGGCATCATTAAGGGTAAATTGAGAAGCACAAATGTGGTCTGTAGATAAAATGGAAATAATAATCAACATAGGAGGAATGCTTTTAACAAGGACATCTATCCCTCAAACTTCGTAGAAACAGGTCTCGAACATAATTAGATAAACATCAAGCAATTACTTCCAAAACAGAGCATGAGTGCACACATATGAAGCAAAAATAATCTATTGAGATAAATATATTAGGTTTCAGCACGGCCAGTTCAAAGGACATATACCCATATCCTATGTTACCTAGACTAAATGGTAAAACATAGACATAGGATATGACCAATACTATATATTATTTACTGCCTTGATGAGGAACATATACTAGATAGTATATTAAGTCAAACAATGAGAATACAAACAGAACTTACAGCATCTTCCATGGTTGCACGCCATCCTTGCACGCATGACAATCCATAACGAAGCCTGTAATTTTCACCATCGTCTGATAACTTTTCAGTTTTTGGGGTGCTGAGATATACCCCCATTTCCTGAGTGAACCAAAACAAATCCTAGTCTCATACATTGACACAAGCACATGCATATGTTTGAACAAAGAAATCAAGTATTCCTGCCTTTTATTTCGTTAAAAATGAAACCATGTGTGTGTATCATGTACAAGTAACAAATCCTCACCACACCGCACAAAAACTTGTATATATACATATACATGAATATATGAAATGGCAACTCATTTCAATAGATTAATACAGAACAACATTTCAAAACATAGTTGATTGTTGTTAAAAAAGATCGAATCAAAATATGACAACTATATCACTTTATTCTTTTATCTTCCAAATATATATATATAATCAAAATCATTTTGGGAAAACATGTCCGAATCAAAAACAAACATCAATGCAGCTATAACAACCTAATTTCTCAGTTTTCATCATATAGAAAGTCGACCCTAGAGGAAGTAAGCATTGCCATGATTTTAAGTCATTTTGAGTTGTTTTTTAACTCAAGCAACATGCATTCTTTTCGCTTTCTTTGGTTTTCTCGGGAACTGATCGTGTAGAGGCAAATAAAAAACAAAAAATATATATAACAAGAAAAATAAAATGAATTGAAATTGATTAACACGAGAAATGGAGAGCGAATTGAATATTTACAATCATGATAATTGAAAAGAAATGAAACTCACTTATTAGAGAGTCCGTACAGGTTTTTGAGAGCGATAGAGAAGATGATGAATCTGTTAGGTGGCGTTTGGCTCGCTAGAATGTTTATGAGGAAATTAGAATCTGTGAAGGAATTGGAATCTGTCAGGAATTGGAATCCAATTCCATATTCTGTTTGGTTGGCAGGAAATGGAATCCAATTCCATATTCTGTTTGGTTCGCAGACATGTCAGATGAATTTGATTTCAGTAATATAAAATGACAGAATTGCCCTTCTTATTTTTTTACTTTATTTTAGTTTTGTTTTACAACTTACATGTAGTAATATATTATAAAAAATTAAAAAATATTAAATTTTCATTTTATTTATTGATTATTCATTTCAATAAATTATAAAAATCATGCTAATAAACATCATAAGTTAAAATCATCGCAATCAAAATATGTTAATAAGTTACCAAAAGATTGAGCAATATTTCAATACATTCCAATCGGAATATGTTAATTAGTTACAAAAAAATATACCAAAAACTAATTTTATTCAATATATGAATTAGAAACCCGACCCGACACGACACAAAATAATAAAATAAATATTTTTATTCAATAAAAACATTGACTTAATTAAAAAAAATTATATATAGAGGGGTATTATTGTAATTATTCCTAAATATATAAGGTAAAATTATATATTTTTTTCCGATCGGTCCGGTTTTTTTACCCTAAACCCGAACTCGACCCGAATATCACACTTAAAAAAACCCGACCCGAATATCACACTTAAAAAACCCGACCCGAACAAAATAAAGTTTCACCCGACCCGACCCGAATATATGAATTAGAAATCCGACCCGACCTGACCCGAAATAATAAAAAATTATTTTTATTCAATAAAAACAGTGACTTAATTGAAAAAATATATAGAGAGAGAGGTATTATTGTAATTATTCATAAATATATAAGGTAAAATTATATATATTTTTGGGTTGGGTATTTTCACCCTAAACCCGAACTCGACCAGACCCGAATATCACACTTAAAAAAATCGACCCGACCCGACCCAAATAAAGTTTCACCCGACCTGAATATATGAATTAGAAACCCAACCCGACCTGAAATAATAAAAAATATTTTTTATTCAATATATAAATAAGTTACCAAAAGATTGATGAGGGTAGTATGGTCAAATTTCAATTCCCTCCAACAAGGGAATTGAATTCCATCCATTCTTGAATGGAATTCACTTTCCCTCATTTGATGGAAAGTTGAAGCCATGAGGGATTCCAATTCACATGAAAAACTTGAACCAAACATGAGAAAGTGGTGGAATTGGATTCCAATTCCCCTCAATTCCAAGGGATTCCATCCAACCAAACGTCACCTTAGTGTTCTGTTTTATCTGTTTTTGATAATCATTTTTCGAATAAATCAACCGGGGTAACGACACGTGCCGCCTTGACCGTGGTCTCTTTTTTTATTAAACCGACTTTTTTAAATAGTAAGTAATTTTGAAAATATTACTTTAGGGGTGTGTTTGGTTGGGGGAATGTGAGATTCTTATGGGAATGTAATCCACATTCCCCCGTTTGGTTGGCCGGGAATGTCATTCTCGGTAATCTTACATTACCAATAGTGGATTTTTTTGGGGTATATTACCGGAAATGTCATTACCTCACTTTCCTTAGGTATTATTGGATTACCGACATTTTGGACTAAAATACCCTTAAAAAAATTTCTTTCAAAAATATCCTTAATCTGTCATTGAATAATAAAAAATCTACGAAGGTTAAATTACAAATTTATCCTTAAACTATTTTAGATTTACAAAAAAAAGTCTATAATTAAAATTTTATATGAAGTTCAGGGGTTAAAATAAAAATTTACCCTTTCATTAAACCTTTTTATATTTTCAATTTTGTAAAATAAATTATATAAATTTTATGAATTTAAATTTTTTAAAGAAAATATATAAATATTTTTCATCTTGTTAAAAAAACAAATATATAATAAGGACAATTTGGTCAAATATACATTCCAATAATCTTTTATTCCTTTAACTAAATACAGTAATCTTACATTCCTGCTAAACCAACTAAACACAAAATACAATATTCCCAGTAATCCTATTCCCAGGTAATCTTTTATTCCCATTGGTAATCTTACATTACGTGAACCAAACGCACCCTAGAAGATATAAAAAAAGTAGAGTATAATAGTTTATTTTCTAAAAATAATTATGATTAATTAAATTTTTTTAAGTCATAAGTATCCTTTAAATTACTTCATCGTTTTATTTTATAATTATCTATTACTTTTAAAAAGTAATAATTTAAATCTCTCACCTTTAAAAAAATGAAAGACAATCCATATAAAATGTAACTTTTAAAATAAAATTGATTTAATACTTTTAATTTAAAGTGATAATCAGCTCCCTACCTACTTATAATTTAATATAAATTATCAAACAAATTGAAAATAAGGTTATTTGAATATATATTATGAAGAAAATAAAGAAATGTTGATATCTTAATATTATTTAATAAATTATAATATTCTTAATATAAAAATAAGTGTCTAAACTATCTATCGAAAAACATTTTTGTGCTAAAGAATTATTCGTTAAAAATAGGTATCTAACTTTTTCTTCGTTACCATTTTAGGTGCTCGAGCGTTAACTATCGTTAAAAATCTTCGTTAAGTGACACGTGTCATGTTATGATAATTTTAAGAATTTTTATTTAAAATAAAATAAAAAATATAATTAAAAAACTAAAAAAAATTCAAAACTTTTAAAACCTTAATTTTAATCCTATCGCCATCGTCGGCCGCCACCAACGACTTGTGACCAACTAACCACTCACGATCAAAACCTCCATACTTTCGTAACTGATTGAACACCTAAAAGCAATGCAAATGAAAGATTTCACTAGGGTTTTGAATCCCTTATGTTTAGAAATTTATAGATTTAGGAGGATTTGGTGTTCGATCGGTTGTAAAAGTTTGGGGGTTTCTTTCGTGGGTGATTGGCCGATCACGCGTCGTTGGGTGCTCGGCCGATTGACGATGTTGTGGTGGTCGGCAATGGCAAAGGGACTAAAATTAAGTTTTTATAAGTTTTGGGGTTTTTTAAGATTTGAAAAAAAAATAGTTTTTTAGAATATATTTTATTTTAAATAAAAATCTCAAAATTACCAGAACGTGACACATGTCACTTAACGAATATTTTTAACTACGGTTAATGTCTGAGTACTTAAAATGATTACGGAGAAAACGGTAGGCAACTGTTTTTAACGAACAATTATTTAGACACTAAAACGTTTTTCGATGCATAATTTAAACACTTATTTTTGTATTAAATTATTATAATATTTTTATAATATTTATTAAATTTATCTTCAAATATCGATAATTTTAATAAAATTGTCATTTTTGTGTCACAATAAAAATAAATTGAAAGTCAAAATCCTTGAAAACTACTCATAATTCTGATAAATTTGTTGATAGTTATTTACGACTTTAAATCAAAAAATATTAAATTATGTAAAAAATATAGATAATTAATTTGAAAAACAAACAAAAATAGACCAGGCGAAATTGAATGGAAAAAAAAATGGCTCATGTAGACTTATAATAGTTGTATCGTCCCATCAATCACGTCGGAATGAAATTATTAAGGACTCCACAAAGTATAATGACGTCCAATTTTAAAATCGTATGATGAAACACTCCAATTTATTCAATTATTAATTACATAACTAGATCAATCAATATTCTTATTTTAAATAATTTTTCATTTAATATCATGTACCGTAAATCTGCTCTTATTTTGCTATTTGGTTATCCATTTGTCTGAACTTCAATATTTCAATTTCATCTTCTTAATATATATATATATATCAATTTCATCCTTTGATATTTCGTGTTAGTTCCGAAATATCTTATATAAGGATTTCCATCTCAAGCTCTGACGTAGAAATGCATAATTTTATATTAAAAAAATATGATTTTAAATGCTCTGAATTTGTAACAACATAAAATATATTCTAATAATACTGGACTTGGGTGTTGGATAATAGTTCCACTGGATGATGTCTCGGTCACCAACTTCCATTTCTGGTAGAACTACAAGGGTAGGACCCAACGCAACGCTTATTAATCATGACCCCACCGGCCCACTAAACACCATCCCACGAATAGGAGCGGAGCAAAGCAATGGTGGGGAAACGTAGGACCCACCACGTTTGCGTTTCAGCTTTCAACTATAATATCAACCGTAAAATGATAATAACGAATAAATAATATATAGTAGATAAGAGTTGGTGAATGAATTTGGAGCGCAAGAAACAAGGATAGGACCCTCCTCTCCCGTAGATGTCACCATCTCACCAACTCCATGTTTTCTTACATTGTATTATATTATGGTATCACATTAATCGATTCAATTAGATCTCACCAACCTTAATATTCAATTAATCTTCACTTGACTATTGTTAATACAATAGCAATTCGGTGACACCAACATCCATTAAACAAATAAAAAATATTTCATTTGCTATTTTTCTTATAAAATAATAAAACCATAAACATATATATACCGATTAACAAAAGCTGTTCCTTAATGCACTAAAGGGTAATTTAAGGGTTAAATATGGGAAATTAAGTGAAAATGTATATTAACCAAGTATCATTTTTTAGTAAATATCTACACGCAGTTATTTTTTGGGGGGGGGTTGTTTTCGGTTATATATATATATATATATATATATATATATATATACTTATGAATCACTTTTAATGTTTTTTTAGATCAATACACTTTTAAAGTTAAATATGATAAATGATTATTGTTTGGTTATATAATTTAAGATGGTAGTTTAAGAAAAAAAATTCTATTTGTATTTATTTAATGAAAATTATCTTATGATGTGTAAATTTTAGTTTATTCAAATTTATTCACGTGTAATTTAGATGTTTTATTTAAAAATTAAAATTTAAGGTTAGAGATTTTATTCTCATGAGGTTTATGGTTTAAAATTTAATATATGGTACTTAGATTCGTTGTATTCTTTCAAATTTGTACTTATAAAATGTTTGCTCT